ACTCGCATGTAAGTCGTGTAAGGAAATTAGTTTGTAAGTAAATCATTGGTCGAATTTAATCGTGGCTTGTTTCCTGACTCGACGCGCACGACTTACACGCGAGATCTCCACGCGCGCCCAGGGAAAAAACACAGGCTAAAAAGGTGCTCTTTCTGCCCTTTCTGCCCGATCTGCCCTTGAAAATCAACAATAAATTCTTAACTTTTCTTCCTGCCCATTTTATTCATGAGATCAAGACAATAGCCTATGACGTCAGCGACGTTAATTTATTTCCCCCCCACCTTAATGAGATTCCCCTCCAAAAAAGAGGAGTAACCGGTGCGCCCTATACTACTACCCTAGTCCCACTAGTTCCCCTAGTAAACTGCAAATACAGCTAAAACATCGAACAACGTCTGCGTATAATTGGGATTTGGGAATCAACGTGCCTGTCAAAACCCAAAAACGTTCCGATAATTATCAAACTATGCGAATTATGCTAGCAGTGTTACGTTTTAAAAAAAGGGAAAAATCATGCTAGTTTTCTCAAATTATGCTAAAAATTATGCTGGCACAATCTATAAAAGCCTACTCTGAAATAGCATTTTCAGCCTTCAGTGAGCATTAATTTCCAGCAATTTTTAACTGACTAAAATCATTGAAGCCATAAATAAACAATTTTCACGCTTTATCGAACCGAATTGAACACATTGAACCGAAGAGTAGCGTGAAGAGTGTGACAGCTGACCAAATTAAACGTGCCTGTCAAAATTATTGGGGGGGGGGTGCTCAGGCCCTCCCCACCCCGGCCCCTCCCGGCCCATGCTACGGTACTGCAGTGTCACTTCTTTCCCTCAATAAACTGCTTGCGGCTGTTGTAGCTTTTCGCGTTTGCTTGAACTAAACGTTTCCTAGAGCAAGATTTCTCATGCGATGATTGTTCCGCGATGAAGGTAACAAAAACTTTTCATTAAATGAAACATATACCCCTCTTATTGAATTCATCAGCATTGGGAGCTGGAGTCAATTCAGTCAGGCTTCATATTTTTTGGAGAATCCAAAAACGGATTTGTGATCTCAGATCATATGGATTCTTCACTGCCAAAAAAACGGAAGATCCGAAAACTGAGGATCATTTACAATGACAACGGAAGCCTCCTCCTCGGGCGCTTCGTTTTTAGCATGGCAGAGGCGAGCGCGAAACGCGAGTAACTGGTGATGAACCGCAAGGGACCATGGAAAGGGTACAGACGGTGGGCGAAGCGCCGTCTCGCCCGTCGTCTCCTTCCCGCCTTCCTTTGCGCGCACATCGAAAGAGAGACGGCTGGGTACGAGGCAGTGACAACGGAATGTCCTCGTGCTCCTCGTGATGAGGAAAATAGAAGAAAAAACAAAAAAGAAAAAAAAAAGAATTTGCCCATGAATATATATTTTTAAAAACTTGGAAAATAAACCGGCGCAGGCAGACACTACATACGTGCAAAAAACATGACAAGTCAGGTTTAAAAAACAGTCTACGAAAGTAAACACGGAATGATATGTAACTCAGTTATGGCTCAAAGTAGGGCGCCACCAACATAGGTTCAGTTAGAAAGTCATACATGTTCGGAAAACCGCTTCTCAAAATACCGTTTTCAAATCCTTTCCCCCAAAAAACGCTCGGATTGTGAATCTCAAAAATCCGGATGAAGGGGTGCGTTTTTTTTGGGAATCCAAATCCGGATTTCCGAATCCAAAAACGGATCATGAATCCTTAAAATCTACACTCTGGGTAGATTCTTCGGATCAAATCCAAACGAAAACTGAATCAGTAAATTAATAAGTTTAGAGCGTAAGGATTATGTTTTAAAGTACCTAGGGGTCTTGACGGATAGTAATCTTAGCTGGAAATATCATATTAGTCATGTCGAATCAAAGATCAGTAGTAATATTGGTGTAATAGCCAGACTAAGGCATTTTACTCCCTTTATTACACTGCTTAATAGATTTAGATCTTTAATTTTTCCATATATTCCCTACGGCCTTGGAGCCTGGGGACCGGGCAGCCAAAACACACTCCACAGTCGAACGTCCACTAACAGCCACCTCTCTACAATGGCCACTTTCTTCTGTCTCCAAGATGGCCGTTGTAGAGAGGTTTAACTGTAATTAATCTTTAATAACATATTTTTTTATTTTGTAACATTCTTTGTATTAATATTGCAATTCAAGTGTTAATGATACGTGTCCATACTACCTGCCTCGATTAGCTTCGCTATTTGCAGGTAGTCTGTACTTGTAATATATTGATTTTCATGTAAATAAAGTTTTGTTGTTGATGTTGTTGTGTAACTTTTCATTATTATGTATCGCAAAAATTTGTTGCAATTAGTTTGATGTTGGTCCTCAAAAAATTGACTGGACTATTTTGCTCTTTTGCACTAGTTGGGGGTTTTGTTATTCAATCCTCACTGGGATTACCAAATTTAAATACGAAAGAAAACACGAAATGAATTCTGGTCTTATGCATGATTAAGTCAGACCAGCAAATTTCACCACCAAGCCTCGTTTGCAAGGAGAATTCTCTGCATTTGCACTCTTTGTGCGTTTACTGCCTCGGGAATTCGTTTATGCCAAACGTGGCAACTTTACAATTTCAAATCGAGGCTTGGTGGTGAAATTTGCTCATTCCAGTGACGTAAACACGCATAAGGGCAGCAGCCTAGTGATAGGCTCCTGATAAGGGTTATTCACCATTTTCACATCGACCATAATGCACCTTGTTTACCCACACAAATTTTGCAAAACCATTGTCTCCTGGGTCGTCCCAGGAGAAATCGACGACAATGGTTGTGCAAAATTTAAGGTGGTACAACGTGCATTTTGGTTTATGTGAAATCGGCTACTGAAATGCCAAAATATTAAATAGCAGCTAGTCCACAGCGATAAACTGCTGAGTGGTGCCGGATCTCACATTTGTAGACCTGGATCAGTACAATAACAACTTGTATATAAAATATAAAACGGCAAAGTAATCCTGACGGCAAGGCAATGAACAACTAAACAGAAGAATACGGTGCCGGATCCAGACCTGAGATAAGGGGGGAGGGGCAGTCATCCAGGCCCTTAGATAAGGGGGGGGGGGGGGG